ACCAGCCTGAGCAAGAGCGAGACCCCATCTCTACTAAAACTAGAAAGAAATTAATTGGCCAACTAATATATATAGAAAAAATTAGCCGGGCATGGTGGCAAATGCCTGTAGTCCCAGCTACTCGGGAGGCTGAGGCAGAAGGATCGCTTGAGCCCAGGAGTTTGAGGTTGCTGTGAGCCAGGCTGACACCACAGCACGTGCTCTAGTCTGGGGAATAAACTGAGACTCTGTCTCAAAAAAATAAATAAATAGAATAACAGAGGATCCGGGACCATACTGTCCTATGATAGCATAGATGGACATCAGGTGATTCCATTTAGCCCTCAAACCGTGAGTACATGGAATTTTTTCAATGAGAAGATCTAGGAGGATTCAAAAGGCTTTCATTAGTTTCTCAAAGGGGTCTGCAAAAATACTATAATGATATTAGAAGCAGCATATTGCAAGTAGAAGAGGGTACTGGTAAAATCAGCCACACAACCAGTGTTGGCTGGTACTCACAGCAAAAGTTCTAACAGTGGAAGGAAAATCTACAAAGCGGGTATAAATACCTAAGTTTTACAGTCATCCAGAGCAGTATCCCCCAAAACAGTTGTTTTTGAGAATATATCAGAAGTGAATAGATGTGCTGTTAAACTGGTATTTGTTGGTCAAAAAATTATGAGAAATATTATGTTTCAAAGAATATTATAGAAGTAAATAGAGACTTTGCATGATAATGCAAACAATGCATTTAATGCATACCATTAATTAATTAATATCAATTAATTATATAATATATTTTATTATATTAATTAATATCAACTAATATCAATAATGCAAATAATGCATTTGTATTTAATGCAAATAATGCATATCAATAATGCACAATATGATAATTTGCATTATGAATCACTGTAAGGAGAATTAGTATATAGTATTTCCCAAATTTATTTGATCATAGAGCCCTTTTCAAATGATTATCAGTTTGAGAAATACCCTTTAACAGAGGGATAAACATTATTAGGCTCTGAGTGCAAAATAGAAATAAGTAACTTTCATCATGACTCTGTCATGAAGAAAAATTTAAATTGTGTTCTAAATACTCTAAATAATAAGAAAGCAAAGAATTTTATATTGAGTTGTAGAAAAATTCTTATTAAAATTATACAGAAGAAAAAAAAACCTGCAACTATCTAGTTATTATTTACATGGACTTATGCATTATTAGTTGATGGTAAATTAAATAAGGTCTTGCTCTAAAATGGAAATTTAATTTTTTTCCTTGTAATAGTGGGATTTAGGATAAATTTATATTTCCTAGGAATCATAGAGTTCATCCTATAACCAGGCAGCAGTCATTATTTCAGGTATTTTACAGCAGTGATTGGTAGCAGGCCAAACATAATTGCCTGTATATAAACATTTATGTCTAAGATTTCTTTGAAGCAAGACAGGTCCATAGTGATTTCAAAAAATCAAGGCCAGATTGCCTTAGAGGGTAAAGGAGAACTCCTGGATTGATTGTTCCAGATAAAGTTTTCTAGAGAGGTGACATGGAGAAGAGAAACAAACAGAAGTAATACTGAAAAAAGAGGGAAAGCGATTAATTTAGAGAAGGAAAACATATAGGGAATTTTTCCTGGGAGAAACTCTTTTCTAATTTGCTTAACAGTGAAGAGTCTAAGGATAGAAAAATAGATATGCTTTGCAGATAGAAATGAGCTAAGGTGTGATGATTAGGACACTAGTCCTATGAGATACTGTAGGGAAAATAAGTCAAATAAGTTTGGGAAATGCTACTCCATCCTTTGCGTTTAATTTTGCTTTAATTGGCCTTTCACAAAATGAATTTATCACAGAATTATTTTTCTCATAAATTAAGAACCCTCATAATACCCCTTGGGAGAACACTGAGCTAATAGTGATAGCAAATAAGGACTACTAATTAATGGGCCTCCACCATGATCATTGCTTCTTTGGGACAAAAATGATTAGATTTAGGTCATGCATATTATTGTGTCCTTTTTCATTAGTTATAAAGATTCACTGAATTAAAACGGATTTACCTTTTAATATTGTTATATTTCTGGAATACAAGATTCTTCTAAATCCAGGTCATGAAGATAAGACCTCTTCATGAAGAATCCTCAGACCCTACATAATTTTAAACAAGTAGCACTCTTAGGTTATACTGTTTTGATTCTTAAAGATTTTTCTTGTGCTTCTTTGTTTACCTTATAAACATTCACAATACTTCCATTTTGGAACTGAGCCAAATGAAGCCTCTTAAATATGCTTACCTTCTGATCAAACTATTGAGTGGCCTTTCCTAATAATTAGAAGAGACATCTGCACCCGAATGTTTATGGCAGCACAATTCACTATTGCAAGGACATGGAAACAACCCAAGTGCCCATCAATTCATGAGTGGATAATTAAAATTTGGTATATGTTCACAATGGAATATTACTGAATTCTAAGAAACGACAGCAAGCTAGCACCACTTACACTATCCTGGATTAAGCTTAAGCCCATTATCCAAAGTGAGGCAACACAAGATCAGGAAAATGGGTTCCACATGTACTCACCATCAAATTGACACTGACTGATTAACACCATGGTCTCAAAGGGTGGTGGTGTTCACCAGGGATTCAGGGGTTGGAGGGGTAGTCCCACATCTGAGGGATGTGGTGAACCTTGTGGAGGGGAATAGCATACCTCTAACCCTTGCTAGGGAGAGAAAAAGATATAAAATGTAACCAAAATGTTAAGAAAAAAAGAAAAACAAACATTTGTCAGGTGTGGGGCAGGTAGGAGGGGGGAGGAGGGGATGGGTAGATACATACATAGCGTGATGCACATTGTCTGGGGGATGGACACGCTTGAAGCTCTGACTCATTGGGGGAGGGGAGACAAGGGCAATGTATGTAACCTTAATGTTTGTACCCCCATAATATGATGAAATAAAAAAAATGTAAACAAATGAAAAATAAAAAAGAAAGGATTCTTAAAGTCTCTGAAAATTTGGCGTATAAACATTTTAGATCCAAAAGGAACTTTAAAGTTTAGAAGATTAAACTAGCCTCTCCAGTACATGAACAAAGCTTAAAAAATGTCAAACAGACCAAATGGGAATCAAGCAACAACTAAAAAACATATTCTATTCTCTTTTTATTTGGGGGGCATGATTCTTCTAGAAAAACTTTAGTTATATATGCTGCTTATACATGCTTACATCCTCTGGTGTGCCTATGCACAAGTGGTAGGGCTTTTTAGAGATAGATTTTAATGTATGTGGGGCTAATGTAAATTTAGAGTTGAAATAGTGCTTTTGTAGGCACTTGTAGATTTTTTAAAGCCTTTTTTACTCTTCTAGATCAGGGCTAAATTCTACAGTTTAAGTTAGTTGACAGCTTTTTCTCATATGACCTACAAAGATACCATGACAGTTTTGGTCTTCAGTGAAGAACTGTATTAAATGGTTATGAGTTTGATGCTAGCATTTTCAAATTTTGCTGAGGTGAAGTGGATTAGATATAAAATTGTTACATTTCTAGAATCTTCCTTCTAAATCCATGTGAGGAAGGTACCTTTTTTCACATGGAATCATCAGACCCTACACAATTTCTGAATCACGCTCTCAGTATTTTCTCTTCAAAGGCACTTTGTGTTTACTTTATAGGAGTTTACACATTTTCCAATTTATAGTTAAGCTTCAGGATACTTCTTAAATATATGTTTTAAGAAATGGCATTAATAGAGGAAGGATACTTTAAATCCTTGAAAACTTAGCCAAAAGTGCTATTTGGTGATATCAATCTAAAAGGAAGTCAAATTAAATTGTTTGGGAATATGTAATAAGTTAATTATTTTCCATACTCTGAAAAATATAAGGTGGGGTTTTTTTGTATCATATTAAAATGCCAGTGTGACTTGACTAGTAGCAGAATTACAAAAGCAAAAAAGATCAACCTTTGTATAGGTAGTATTGTTTCTTTGCAAACAGAAGCTACATCAAAATTATTTAGACAGAAGTTATTTTTAAACATGATTGCATGAATTATGCAGTCTAGATCCAACAGCTAAATTAATTTGCTTCTTTTTAATGATAGGAACACTTTTAAGGCCTTGAAGAGTATGTCTTTTATGTAGTCTTTTTTTTCTTTAGAATTTTATTTTAATTTCAGACTTACAAAAAAAGTTGCCAGAATAATACAAAGAATTCCTGAATTTCCTTCATATTCACATTCCTCAAGTGTTAATATTTTACCACATTTCCAATTTTGCTTTCTCTCTCCTTCTTTCTTCTCAAAAATTTTTTTTTCCAGAACTGAGGACTAGTTGCATTTAACCTTATATACTTCAATGTCTATTTCCTAAAAACGAGGGCATTCTTTTTCATAATCATAGTACAGTTATCTAAATCAGGAAATTAACAGCCATGCATTAATAGCATTGATTGTAGACTTCACTCAAATTTCTCCAAATTATCTCAATACTGTCCTTTATAGCAAAATAAAATACTGATCATGTATTGATTTCAGTTGTGCATAATATCTTTTTAGAGTCCTTTCAACTGGAACATTTCCTAGTCTTTGTGTTTTCTGATATGACACTTTTAAAAAGTATGGACTGGCTATTTTATAGAACATTCCTCCATATGGGTTTGTTTGATGTTTCCTCCCAATTAGATTCAAGTTATCCCAGAGTAAAGAAAAAAAAAAAAAGATAGAATTGTATAAGATGTGATTTTAAAACAACAAATTATATTTCTGTTTATAACTCTGAAAGTCAATATAGTTATTTAATGGTCATATTTGCATCAAACAGAATATTTACCTACAGCTTCCCAGAACAAAAGATGCTCCTAGGAGATTATATGTGTTTCTTAATGAACAAACCTTAATTATGGAGAATCTTGTTAGTTATGATGATTTATGGAATCACATAGATCGTTCTAATATTTACTGAGAAAAACAAATAAAATGTATAACAGTATTGATCTTCTTTTTTCACAGTTACTCCTGAAAGCCCACAGAAAAGAGGAAACTTCTCCCTCACCTTAGATGAACTCAAATTCTTATCACAGCTCATACAATCCTTTTTGAAACTGGAAAAAAATGTTCAAGAATTGTTTGAAGAAATGTTTTTATCACTCAAGATACCGAGGAATACTTCAGGTAATATCCTCTTTTGTTTAAATTTGTAAAGCTATGATTTCTCTCTGTTTTTCTTTCCTGCCTCTTTGAATCCATTACTTGAAAAAAAAGTGTATGATATTCAACAAGCCATGATTTTGGGTGTAAAATTTTATAAATAAAAAAAAAATGTATGATAGAATTCTTTAAAAAAAAAAAATGTATGATAGAATTCTTTAAATAAGCATTCAATATAATGCAATCCATAGATTACATTTTTATCCTTTGTACTTGGCAAATTCCTTAATTTTAATTGACAAAGCATCATATGTTGATTTGGGATAATTGTCTTTAGCTACAATCAGATCAATTTTTTTGTTGTTTTTTCAAATAAGCACAGCCTGTCCTATGGACAGAATAAGCAGACTGGATGATCAACTAGCCCTCTTCTGCCACTAGCAGCCAGACCATCTTGAGCAAAGCATCTAGTCTCCACAGACCTGAATGTTCTCATCCTCAAGATAATCACGTGGCACTAGAATAATTTTCTCTTTGTTTTCTTTCAGAATTAGATGCTTCCTACATGCTATATAGGATTGTGAGAGTTAAATAATTTAGTGTATATGCACTACTTAAAAGAACATCTAGCTTATAAACTATCAATAAATATGAGTTACAATAGTAATTATAATGATATAATATGTTATTTTAAGTTTAGTCAGTCTTAACAAAATCCCTTTGAAGAAAGCTATGCCATATGTATTGACATAATATTGCTAACATTAATGGTAGGATTTAAAGACACAGTGATTAAGGTATGTTCTCTGTTGTCATATGTATATTTATAAAGATTTTCATCTTTGTCAGGATGAAATGCACAAAGTTCTCTTTTACATGATACCATATATCATTCTAAGGAAAATAAATATATACACTGGCTGTATCTGCAAAACCAAGTGAGGGAAGCAAGTGATTAACAATCAATTTGAAAATTTCAACCCCCAAACATGATTTCTTGGTAAAAATTACATTTATTTCACTCAATATGTTTACTCTGGTATTTCTTTATTTACTTTGCCTATGAAAATAATGTCAAAAAAGTTATAGGGTTGGAGTGTGTTTTATATTAAGCATAGTTTAGTGGCATTCTATATTTCAGGTTAAATTCACTATTGAATTATGAAGTAGATAGTATAGATTGCTCTTCCAAATTTGGAGATAATTTGAAAAAAAATGGAAGTGGATTATAGATTTCTGAAGCTGACAAAAAAAAATCCCAAGGAGAAAATAATAAAAATATAGGACAGAAAATATGAATATGAATTAAAAGACAGAATAAAAAAATAAATTTAATTAAGAGATAACATGAGCCCTGAAGGGTCTTTTAGATAGAGTTGACTGGGTGGTCAAAGAGAGATCTGAGTAGAGAAATATGACATCTTAATTACTGATTGACATGTTCGTGTCTCAAGCAGTTGACATTTGGTGTTGGTACTCATCCATCACGCCTGGCTAACATTTGGCATCTTTTATCCACATCTCTAGTAGATCTTTTCTAAGGTATGGATCCAGAAACAGAATGAACTGCAAAACATCTAGGCCCCTAGCCATTTGGAATCATCTTGCATTGGTCCAAGGCCAGGCCCTTAGAAAATTAGGCCAGTTCTGAGAACTTTATTCTTCTTAGGGACAGCATAAATTCAAAACTGGAATTATGTTAGAGAGCTATCGTAAAGATATAAAGCCAAAATGGCCAAAACTGAAGCAAAGATTTGACATGCTGATTTCAGAAAAAAGGAGAAAAATTTTGAAAAAGCTGGTTCAACTACATTCGATTAAGATCAGACAATGTGGAGACTTGCACACACTGTGTATTTGTGGGCAACGGTTAGCATTCTTGGATAAAATCAACAGAACAAACATATAATTATGACACAATATAGTGTCTTACCCCAAATTTGTTATCATATAAGCAGTAAGGCAGACAAAAGCAACTTCAGTATCACATTAATAATGGTGTACTAAATAAACACCTTTGTGGATAATTAAACACAGGCTGTAGAAGGAATTTGGAAGGGCAAATATAAGAAATGTATGAGTACTAGAACATCCCCTTGTGATTTATGTACTCTGCATTGTTGAAATTCATATTTTTTTGGTAACAAAGCCAAGATTGATTTAATCTGACACAACTTTATGTAAATGACTCCCTGAGAAGAATGATCTTGAGGGAGATTGTCAAGGAAAATCTTAAATGTTTTATTCAGTGTATCCAAGTTAATCAATTCTTATCAAAAGCATTGGTTTCTTAAATCAGGAAGGAAAAGATTTCTTGAAAGATGATTAAGGAAACCAAATGTATCATAAGTTAACAATTGGGTGTTCCTGATAGTTAATGTTTTGCTTAGAATCCTGTGCAGGAGAATGGAAAAAAAAAAAAGGATAAATCATTTGGTTTCCTGTGTATTTATTTTGATTGGAGCATATTTTGCTAATAAAGGTCTTGGAAAGAGTTGCCTACTATGTCTATATAACCCAAACAATCTGATGAAAAGTGAGGGTTTTTTTTTTTTCATTGTGCAGATGTTTTTAAAATACCCAAGTGCTTAACATCACATAGAGAAAATATAAAGATGATTAACCAAATATTTTACTTTTTACTTTGATGTTTAATATTATAGACTTAGCCAAATTGGCAGTTCTCTTAGTAATTTGAATGTGGACAAGAGATTTTGTAGAGACACAAGAAATATTTTTCTGAGAAAGAAAAGATATTTACTCATTATATTTATTTACTTTTTGGTCATAATTTCATGGTATTCTATTTTTGTCACTTCAGAAAATGATAGGACATTGTTTGACTATTATGATGCCTTACTATATTAGGTGATGATATCTATGGAGTGGTCTCGGGTTTGATTTATGGGACATTTCTAATGCTCCTTCAGAATAAAGTTGTTCTTTGGGCAGTTCCTCAATTTTTCCAAAGGTGGCATCTGAGATTTATCTAAACCAGGAGGTTTCTTGGCCCTCATTTTTCTTTAGCCCCAGCAATGACAAAGAGCAATGGCTGCTTCAATTGGATGTAAGAAGAACACTTAGGGTTTGTCTCAGAAGAATCAAAGATTTCAGATCTTCTGAAAGATTGTTTGTACTCTTAGGGGGTCTTAAGAGGGGTCAAATGGCTTCTAAGAGTTCCTTAGCTAGATGGTTAAGGGATTGTATTAGGGAGGCGTATGTAGTTAAGGTAAAGAGGCTCCTAGGGTTTGTAAAGCTCATTACACTAGGACTTTAGCTGTTTCTTGGGCAGAGAGGTCGAAGGCTTCCACATTGGAAATTTGCAAGGTGGCCACCTGGGCTTCTCTTCATACTTTTTCATGGTATTATCTCTTGGATGTAGTCTCTTCTACAGATCCAGCTTTTGGTGGGAGGTTGCTTGTGAGCCAGAAAAAGAACAGTGAAGAAAAGAAAGACTTGTAGTTCCCATTTAGAGCTGCCAACAAGGCACATTGCTTTGTAGTGCACACAATGGGAACCTATGAAGACCAATTTGGGTGTGAAAGTGGATGTCACAGGGAAGTACTGCCAACCTCTACTCTCTATGAAAGAAAGTGGCAGTGTGGAAACTAACCAGAAGTGTAAAATGAACCACAGAGAACTCTGTAGGGGAAGCTGTTGAGCAGCTGGTATTCTTGTGACCCTCTGCACTCTTCTGAAGTTCTTAATCTAGGCATGCTCTTAAAGTAACCAATGTTGATTGCATGCAAGTAGCCATATTTTAGAGCAATGAGCTGAAAACAGGCTACATTGTCTAGAAAATGATAATAAATGTATAGAATTTTCAACATATGTTAAATATGTGAACTAATTCTCTACATGTTTATAGAGCTCATGAAGTTTTACCTTGCCAAATTTTGAAATTGACCCTTATGAATTCCAAACACATATAAAAACGCCACCATTCATTAAAACCACAAGATATCTTATTAATGTGGATTCCGTGTTACTAGTCCTACCTAAAAAAGATCCCTCTTGCTTCCCTATATAGAATTAAGTTTTAAAAAAATTCTTTTCAATTCTTGGGAGTGATTATATTTTAAAGATTATAATCCATGATAATTAATTTTCTATCTTACTATAGAATTGCTCACCAGCAAGAAAAAGAAGTCTTGGAAGCTTCTTTTTTTCCTTACTCATCTTGAACGTAGACAGATGGTTTGTATAAACATCTGAGCACATTACTTTGAGTGAATAAACATAATGTATTTGGGAGTGAAATGATAAATATAAGATAATTAACTTTTCCCATAAGTCTTAAACTATAGCGGCACAATGGCAGATAGTTATTTCCAGAAACAGATCTACAGACCTTATACTTCAAACTAGTGCTATTTTTCTGGGGTACATGCCTTTTAAATTAGCTAGTTTTATGAGCTATCTAAAGAAAGTAAAATGACATTAAGAATCCAAATGTTGTCACTTCATATCATTAACAACTTGATCTTTATTATTTTTTCTTCTTCAAAAATTGTTTTTGAATAGTACTACATGCACATAGTAAAACTTTTGTACAGGACAAATGAATAACTAGTTATGTTTATATCCCCATATTAAAATAACTTAAAATCCTGTCATACTATGTAGATGGTCTCTTTTATTAAAAATTCAAAAAATGTAGAAACACCTTATTCTTTCTAACAGCTTAATAGTTTTTCATTGGTGTTTATATCATAATTTAACCAGCTATTCATTGATGGAAATTTTGGGCTTTTTATTTCCCCTTCATTTGCTACCACAAACAATGATAGGGCAAATTTCCTTGAACTATTTTTCATATAGTTATATATTATAGTTTAAAATAGTGCACAACTATATCTGGAGGCTAAGTTTCTGAAGTAGAATTGACAAGGAAAATGATCTGGTCATAAAAAGGATGAAAAGATAAGCCACAGACTAAGAAAAAAATATTTGCAAAACACATATATGATAAAGTACTTGTATCCAAAATATACAAAGAACTCTTAAAATTCAACAAGAAAACAAACAACCCAGTTTAAAAATGCATAAAAGATCTGAACAGACACCTCACCAAAGAGGATATACAGATGGCAAATAAGCATATGAAAAGATGCTCAACATCATGTCATTAGGGAAATGCAAATTGAAACACGATGCCACCACACACCTATTAGAATGGCTAAAATCCAAAACACTAACAACACCAAATTCTGGCAAGGATGTGGAGCAACTCTCATTCATTGCTGTTAGGAATGCAAAATGGTACAGGCTCTTTGGAAGACAGTTTGGCAGTATTTTACAAAGCTAAACATAGTTTTACCATACGATCCAGCAATTACACTTCCTAGGTATTTATCCAAATGAGTTGAAAACTTACATCCACACAAAAACCTGCACACGAATGTTTATAGCAGCCTTATTTGTAATTGCCCAAACTCGGAACCATCTAAGTGTTCTTCAGTAACTGAGTAGATATAAACAAACCGTGGTATATCAATACAATGGAATATTATTTATCAGTAAAAAGAAATGAGATGTCAAGCCATGAAAAGACATGAAGGGACCTTAAATGCATATATTGTAAGTGAGAGAAGGCAATGTGAAGAGACTACATACTGTATGATTTCAGCTATATGCCATTATGGAAAAGGCAAAAATGTAAAGACAGTTAAAAAATGAGTGGTTGCCAGGAGAAAGGGAGAGGGGAGGAGGAATGCATAGGTGGTGCAAAGGGGATGTTTAAGACAGTGAAGGTATTCTGTGTGATACAGTAATGGTGGATACATGACATCATGGATTTGGTAAAAACCCATAGAATTGCACAACACAAAGAGTGAACCCTAATATAAACTGTGGAATTTAGTTAATAATAATATTTCAATATTTGTCCATCAATTGCAACGAATGTACCACATCATTGCAAGATGTTAACTACAGGGGGAGGAAGTGTGTGGGAACTTTCTGTACTTTCTGCTCAATTTTTCTGTAAACCTAGAACTTTTCTACAACACAAAGTCTATTAATTTTCAAAAAGTGGACCTTTTGAGAAAGATTGCCAAGTCAGTGTGTCATACCTATTTTGACTGTTAATGATATTTTTGTTGTGTGGAATTATTTTATGGTTTCTGCATTTTGTGTTATACTTTTTTTTGCTCTGTTACCCAGGCTAGAGTGCAGTGGCAGAATCATAGCTCACTGCAACCTCAAACTCCTGGGCACACCACCACACCTGGCTAATTTTTCTATTTTTTTGTGGAGATGGTGTCTCACTCTTGCTCTAGCTGGTCTCTAGCTCCCGGCCTCAAGCCATCCTCCCACCTCAGCCTCTCAAAGTGCTAGGATTACAGGTGTGAGCCACTGTGCCTGGCTTTTTATAGATTTGTAGTTTCAATTTTCTTTATTTAAAGATCTGTGATTAATCTGTATTTTATTTCAATTAGAATTGATCCTTATTTAGAACACCATCTTCTTAAAAAGACATCATAAAATGCAAACCATAGAAAAAGCATTGTAGGTTAAATGGTATAACACTGAGTCTAAAACCTTTTCTATGTTGTGATATGTCTTGATAAATGGAACAGAATTCTTAAACTGCAGTCATGGGCCATAGAGTTCATGAATGAGCTTTACAAGAGGGCCTGGGAACCCCCAGTTTGTGTGTGTGTGTGTGTGTGTGTGTGTGTGTGTGTGTGTGTGTGTGTGTGAGTGATACACACATGGCTGCCATACAGTCATATTGTACACTTCTGTATGTAGTATTTGTCACTTTAATCGAGTTATTGGAAGTGTTCACAAATCCAAAAATAATTACAAAACACTAGAACTGATGAAAACTTTTCCTCAGAATAAACTCTGGTAAACATTTCCCAAAAGGGTGGTGCTATTGCCTACCAAATGGAATATTTGCTTTTAGTCTATTTTATGTACGAGAATGTTGGTTTTGAAATTTGCTTTTCCCAGGACATATGGAATAACTAATTCTTGCAATTCCTGGTAAATTAGAAAAAAAATAAAAATTAGACTGTCTATATAATTCATCATCATATACCAAGTCTGAGGAAAAGAAAGGTAAATGCTGAATTATTCATATTGAATCAAACTATCATTAATATAACCTTAATGGAAAAGTAGAAAGATTTCTTTTTTGGAGTATTATTTTATTACATTTTTGTAGATCTATTTTTTCCCATCAAAAAGAGTTTTCTTATTTGTGAAAAATAAAAATCAAGGAAATATTTTTATTTTAGGAGCTAGGGATGATTTTATATCTGCCCCAGAATTTGTGTTTTTCAAATGAATCATTGATATAATTAAGAGTATAATTTTTCTTTTTTTTTTTTATGGTTTTGAGACAGGCTTTCACTCTGTTGCCTGGCTAGAGTGCAGTAGTATCATCATAGCTCACTGCAACCTCAAACTCTTGGGCTCAAGTGATCCTCCTGCCTCAGCCTCCTCAGTAGTTGGCACTACAGGTGCATACCACCATGCTGGCTAATTTTTAATTTTTAGAATTTTTTTTATAGAAACAGTTCTTACTATATTGCTCAGGCTGGGCTCAAACTACTTGGCTCAAACAATCCTCTTGCCTTGGCCTCCCAAAATGATATTTATCTATATAATTTTGTTCTTTGTTTCAGGAAGAAAAGTGTTAATGTGCTATGAAATACCACCAGTTTTTATTCTATTTTATTTTATTTTTTGGAGACAGAGTCTCGCTTTCTTGCCTAGGCTAGAGTGAGTGCCGTGGCGTCAGCCTAGCTCACAGCAACCTCAGACTCCTGGGCTCAAGCGATCCTCCTGCCTCAGCCTCCCGAGTAGCTGGGACTACAGGCACGAGCCACCATGCCCGGCTGATTTTTTTTATATTATATATATTAGTTGGCCAATTAATTTCTTTCTATTTTTATGGTAGAGACGGGGTCTCGCTCAGGCTGGTTTTGAACTCCTGACCTTGAGCAATCCGCCCGCCTCGGCCTCCCAGAGTGCTAGGATTACAGGCGTGAGCCACCGCGCCCGGCCTCCCAGTTTTTAAATGTATTACCTTAGAATTGTTTTTTAAATGAACAAGGAAATTAATATTTACTCTGTACTCTTAACTTACTCTACATTATCATCATGAGAATGGATTAATGACAAATGGATTTTTATTTTACAAATTATATATTCATGTGCATTAAATATGAATATATCTAGTATATAGGTTTCATCAAGGTGTATATGGAAAAGAACTCTAGCTATATTGATTCTGCCATTATTGTAATGGTGACATTGCCCTACTTCTTGCTGTGTATGTGTATATGTGTATCTGTATGTATATACTATGGATAGAGCTTTTCTGCATAATTAATTTTAACCTGAGTCTATTAGTCACGTCCAGTATGTTTTCCTTTTAAATGTATGTTTGTGTGTTTCTTTTCTATTTCTTAGAAATTTTGGAGAAATTCAATAGAGGAGTAATAGAGAAACCTAGAACAAACAAAACCAGTATTTATTCAGAGCAATTGTTACCAGTAAAAGAGGTAAGTGAGGGGAAAAAGGGTGTTTTTCTAAAAAAATTCATATATAATATAATCATCATATGTCCCTGAGTCCATTATGAATCAAAATGCCTTGAGTTTTGTCCTTTGCCACTAAAAAATAATTTCTGATTGAAAATCAGCTTACAAGTTTTTGAGAAAATTTAATTTAGTGGTGACACTGTTCTCTTGTACAATCTTTTCCATGGGAGGAGTAGGGAGGTGGAAGTCAAGAGATCTTTGTTCTCATCTTGACTCAGGGTCTCCACTTTGAGAATGTAGGCAGGAGATGATTGCTGAAAGGTGAGGAAATGGAGATTAAAAAGGGAAAGGAAAAGAACAATTTGAATTGGCCTCATATTTTTGTGTGCCCAACATCTGCTTGTTTGTTCTTAAGATCCATTACCATGCTTCTGCTCTGCTCTGCTCTATATTGTAGAGAATTACATCTTCTAGGTTCCCTTGCTTTCAGGGTGCTGGCAAGGTTTGGCTAATTGAAGACATTGATGGAAGATTGGGGTGTAGGAGTTAATAGAGAATCCAGGGTATTTCTTCCCCTCTCTCCATTTTAGGGAGCAGGTTGTGACTCCTCTGTTTTCCCCATGAGCCCTGCTGCCACCATACAGCCCTCCCTGCATGATTCCAGTTCCACCTGGCAGGTCTGCCTTTATCTGCAACTGGTGGGAGCTCGTCTCCCATAATTAGTCCCCTTTGTTTGTTCCTCCTGCCCAAGTGTTGGTTGTGGCTTCCTGTTCTATTAACATCTGTCTTGCTTCACAGCCTATCCATATTTGACTCCTCAAATCTTCTATCACCTGGGTAACCAGCCCACTACATTAAAGTCCTTTCTTTTGAAATACCTTGAATGATTTCTGTTTTCTGAATGGATCCTTACTTATATACTAGGTAAATATTTAAAAAATAAAATAAGATATCATTTTAACCTAGAAAGCAAGAGAAATAATCAGGAAATTCAAAGGTACATATTATACTTTAGCCAAAAATCAAAATCAGTACTAAGAAATTAGATAATTACTTTGTGCACAGAACAGAAAATCATGTCTCTCTTTTTTTCTTGGATCAACTAGTAAATAAATGTTCTCTATTCTAACTGGAATATTTATGATGACAAATATCAGCTGGGAAGTAAGCAAACTATATATCATAAGAATAATAGATTTTTAGAAGGAGATTTAAGTAAAGGTTTTCAGTTTTATTTTATTTCATTCTTTTTCTTTTTTTTTTAAGACAGGGTCTTGTTCTGTCATCTAGGTTGGAGTGCAGTGGCCTGATCATTGCTCACTGCAACCTCAAACTCTTGGGCTCAAGAGATCCTCTTGCTTCAGCCTCCCAAGGAGCTAATACTACATGCGTGTACCACCACATTCAGCTAATTTTTAATTTTTTTTTTAGAGTTGGGGTCTTGCTATGTTGCTCAGGCTGGTCTTAGACTTCTGGTCTCGAGCAATCCTCCTGCCTTAGCTTCCCAAAGTGCTGGGATTACAAGCATGAGTCACTATGTCTGGCCCACTTTTCTTTTTAAGAGGAACTATTAATGTGCTTGTGTTTTAATATTTTGAAAAGAGAATTCAGATAGGCCAATAATGTATTATAATCACATATAAATTATCATGGGAAAAAGTAACTGTCACTGCACACACAAATATTTTTTTTTTCACTGCAGCCATGGCAATTAATGGCAATTTTTACCATAATATATTTTCTTGATGAATAAATAAATGAATGATTTTAATGAATAGACATGCCTTGATGGGGAAGACAAAAATAAGGATTTTATTTTTGTTTTAATTTTCATGGAGGTAGATTCCCTTTTCCATTTCTATCATCAATGTGTCCCAAGGAATTACTATTATTACAGCACAGGGCTATAACTATGCCACTTCTAAAGTTTCACTTAAAAGAAAGAAGATTATATGGGCTGAGTAGATTCAATTATTAATTGATTTTATCAAATAAAAGATAAGAGAGATATGTTTCAGGCCCTATGATGCTAAAGGTCCAAATAAACTTTGGAAAGGAAAGTTCAGTTACAACTTAATTATGAGTATGATGAGAACAAGAGCCACTTTTTCTGTTGATAGAGGCTTGGACTCATAGAATTTATCTCTAGAAAATGAATCACCTTTATCACTTTGTACAGGTATATATAAAAAGTAGTAAATTAATGCTGAAAGGGGTATACATCCAAGCAAATTAGGCTTATGATCCATAATCTCAGTCATTTTAGACTGAAAGGGACTATAGAAATCATCCAATTCAGCTCCATTGTTTTTCTAACAAAAAAAACCTGAGATCTAGAAAAATAAGTAATTCAGTCAGGGATGTAGAGTCCAGGGTTTTCTGAAGTTGGAGTAGGTGGCATGTTATTATAAACAAGTTTACATTAAAACATGACAAGTCTAATTCTAAGCATAGGGCCAGCCTACCACCCATGATGTCTTTAGTACTTTAGAGAAAGTTAGGGGACTTGAGGGAAATACACATTCATAACAATATCGCCATATGAGCCATAGGCCAAAAGAAAAAAAAAAACAACAAGATAACATCAGCCTCTACCCCAACCCATTCTATTCCCCTCTACACACAGAACAAGGCAGATCTTTTAAATTCTTCATTCTTGGAACAAAAGTAGTACTTCTTACCACTTTGTAGTAGAGAAACTAAATAAAATCTTAAGCAAGTAAAAATCTAGAAAGGTACAGTGGTATGTTCTCTGAGAAATTTATCTCTTATTGCTATTTTTTGGCTTGTCTGGATTTCTGAGAGTGAAAAAGAAATAAAAGATTGAATATTAAATGCTGTCTTATGTTGCAATACTTGTTAACAATAAACTATAAAAAAGACTATAAAAATCTAATTTAGACTTTATTAAATATATTGAATTTAAAGGTTGCTTTATGCGATAAATAGTAAGTATAGCTTTCTGCTCTCGTAAAGATGGCTTTATTGAACCATATTTAAGAGATTAAATTTTGAAAAAAGTTTTTTATTAAATCCACTGATGAATTAAAATGAAATGTCAGCATATTACTGTGTGTAAAGAATGCACATGTTTTTATATATTGCTTTATTCGCTAGGTAATATTTTTCAGGTTGTAAGAATGGCTTTTATAGTATATCAAAGAATGTCTATATTCAATGTTGAATGAAAGTAATAATTTTATATCTATAACAATAGGAACATTTGTTGCTGAGCTAAGATTAATATGACTTTATATAAATTTATATTTCAGGCTACTTCACTAGATTTTGGCTGGAGAAGTGCATTTAAAGAAGTGTTTCTTCCCATGGCATGTAGCATAACAATTGCAATTGAAGATTTTTCCACAAAAATTCTCCAACAGGAACAGAATGAAAGGTCTTCAGCTGTGAGCTATGCTATGAACCTTGTAAATGTCCAGCAAGTTTGGCAAGACAGCTATGTGTTTCCTGAGGAGGAACAACCAAAGAAAATTGCAAAGGCAGGTATCAAATGAAATCCTTTCAAACTGCTGACTGGTATGATGGGATTTTTAAAAAAACATAAGGCATTGCAAAAGGAGCCCATAGATAAAATAGTGGAGTCACTCGGAAAATACTTGATACTTGAGCCAGAACCAGTTTTCTTCTCTGGTATCCTTGGGCTATTGCTACAAAAAAAGGGCTTGCACCTGTTGCTATAATAACTTGTTGCTCCATAAATCTGAGGCAACCAAAAGGGACCTCTGGAACTTCATGGGGAGCTGGGAAACACTGGAAAAATTGTTTCAGTTTTACCTTTAAATTGACTCTAAGAGAAATTTAGGAGGTTGAAGGGGGGGTATCTTTTTATGTTTTGAGCAATTTTAAAATCTTTATTTACAACTTAATGAACATCCCATTTCATTAGCATCAGCCTTACATCTTAATATGTGTTTTGAAAATCACAGAACATACTGAGAAAATAGGAAGTAAATGCAGTTAGTTGGCATATGGGCTCAGCAACCTATGGTTGGGATGTTTTAAAAGGAGATTCCTTGGAGATGACCTCCTTACTCTGCTACTGTCACCCTGAGGTTCCAGAACATTCCCTAGGGAACTCTGTTGGCCGATCTGATGTGGAGGCAGCCTTCACCTTCCCATCTACCATACCTCCCTCTGCCATCACAAAAGAGTAGATATACAATAAATGGTGAAAAACTAGGCACATTACTTCTGAAAGTTGCTGTCACCTTACCAATAAGAAGATGCTACATGTGATCTTTTCTGATGCTTCTAGATTATTTAAATTAAACTGGCATTTATATGTGGTGTTGAATTCTAAAAAACCTTTTATAGAAAATTTAGCAAAAGAAAATCAGAATAAATTCAAAAATAATGCAACTGTTATATCAAGGACACATATTTTCTGAGTTCTATTAACTATAAATAAAGATATTGTCATGTAAAGCTGGTCCATGAGTTTTTCATAATGCCTGTCTGGTAAGCATAAGGTTTGAAGGTTATATATAGAGAAGCATCATTTTGGTATTTCCTTATTTGACATAAAACATTTAACTTTCTACAACTGAGAAATCGATTATTATAAAGCTGCGTCATTATATTTATGTCTGATGCCAAATTCATTATTTAGGAATTTGGCTCCACTGTCCATAAATTACTTGGTGCTGTCAGAGTACAAATAACTCAGTGCCACATTTATTTCTCCCTAGTTTTGTTCTGACATCATGGAAAAACTTGACACAATGCTTCCACTGGCTCTGGCATGCAGAGATGATTCTTTTCAGGAAATTAGAGCAAACTTGGTGGAAGCCTTTTGTAAAGTGGCAACAGCTGTCCTGGAGAGACTGCAAGAGAGAGGCAAGGAGATTCCTTCGAGAGCACCCCTGAAAAACTTGCACACACTCCTCTCCACAGCAGTGTATGTCTTCCAGCATTTCACGCAGTATGAGCATTTGATGAAAGAAACTACTAAAAAGTGAGTGTCGTTTAAATTAAGGTGATGGCCATGCTTAAAGAAATGTGTGATCTTTGGATATCACAGGAGTTAGATTTTGATAAGGTTTGAGAAAGAGAAAAATCTTAATTTGCATGGTGAATTATTTTCATTTGTCTTGACTAGGAAATGTCAAAAAGGTGGAGTTTGGAATTTATTAAGCTAGCTATGTACATAGAAAGGTACTGTCTCTAAAGACATGCTCAAAAGACCCTTGCATTTTCTGTACCCTAATCCGAAGCAACTATTTCCTCCCTGTTGTTATGACATGACTAAATGTACCCTTCCCTTTTGTAAGTCACATTATACAGACCACATTGAAAAGGAAAAATAAACTTGTTTTTGTCTCACCTATACACATTTGTGAAATATTCATTTGTCTCTTTTGTCTATAAGCCAACAGGCTGTCAGGAGCTGACATAGAGAATAAATGCATTTAATGTATTCTAATGACCAGTGTAAACATATTTCAGGACATCCATTTAGTAATATCAGAAGAAGCGGCAACAGGCAGTCTTAATTGTGATGTATTTGTAGCCTAAAAAGAAACTATGTTTTCTGTATAGAGGTAAAAATGAACACAGGTAGTAATTACCACATGGTCTTTCAGGTTGCCCTTGTACCCTCCAGATATAACTTGGCTCCGTGCAAAGGGAAAACATGAACTTAGCAGTCCAGTGTGACCCTAAGAATCTAGTCTATGCTCTTTATGCATGCAGCCTTAGAAATGCCTTAGTTATGAAAGAAAGCAGTGTTCTATAAATAGCTAAAGATACAAGTAAGATAAATTTGACTGAGGTAGAATATAACTATGATATTTCTTTAATTCTCACAAGTAGTCAGATGATGTGATTCATACTTGAATTTATAAACTAAATGTGTCAGAAATCATTTTGTTTCTACAGAATATACTAAAACAGTTTATGAGATAATTGACATCTACAAAATTACAATATCTTAAAAATAAAAAGAGTGTGTTTGTGGGACATGTGATAGCTTTATAAAAGTTGGTTCTGACAAGTGCATGTTGTTCTCTAATAATAACGATAACCTAATGCCTAAATAATGCACTGATCTCTAATAATAGGCTTACAAAGAATACTTTTATTTTTGAATGATGTATTGACAATGCAGTTTGTCTCAAGTTGAAGTGCATATTTGTAAAACAGCAGATGTACATTTTCAAAGGACTTGCGAAACAAAGACCAGCTTTTTTTTTTTTTTTTTTTTTTTTTTTTTGGAAAGTGAATGTGGATGCAGACTTCAGCATTAAGAGGAAATGAATGATTGATATCTAATAATCAAAACCATTTGTAGTACTGGAGATTGTTACCTCCTACTGCACAGGCCTTAAATCTCCGTCTCTTTGATCATTCTTTCTGAACAGACCCATATTCCTGGTGCCTGTCCAGCGATATCAGGAATTCATCAACACTCTACAGTTTCAGGTTACGAACTACTGCGTCAGAGTTTGTGCTACAAGCATTTTACAGGATGCTGAGAGCCACCACTGGGATGACTACAAAGCTTTTTATGAGGTGTGAAGTTAAGTTTACTATCCCTCCTTTTTACACAAATATGTTTTACTGCCTACCTGCTTTCTGGCTAATTAGAAACATGAGCTTGGCATTACTAACACACGAAGGCTGTTAGGATAATATTTTTTAAATATTGAATTCGTACTTAGGAAAAACACAATTTTTGAAAACCTGAAATAAATTAGACATCAGAACTCTCCTTCTGCTTAAAAGTAAAAATAACTTAATTTGAGCTGCAATGTTGCAGTGCTAAATAAATTGGAATATAATGGGATACAATGAAAACTCAGAGAGCTAGCAATGCCAAAATGCTACAACCTTGTATTCTTCCCCAAAGATACCAAGTTATGGGTGTCCTTGAATTTTTTTCTTGTTATATATTTCCATCTGTGTTTGATAAATACTTTTTATTAAGTAGCTTTATTCTTTTTTTTTTTTTTTTTTTTTGAGACAGAGTCTGCTTTGTTGTCCAGGCTAGAGTGAGTGCCGTGGCATCAGCCTAGCTCACAGCAACCTCAAACTCCTGGGCTTGAGTGATCCTCCTGCCTCAGCTTTCTGAGTAGCTGGGACTACAGGCATGCGCCACCATGCCCAGCTAATTTTTTTTTTATATATATATTAGTTGGCAATTAATTTCTTCTATTTATAGTAGAGACGGGGTCTCGCTCTTGCCGAGGTGGTTTTGAACTCCTGACCTTGAGCAATCCGCCCGCCTCGGCCTCCCAAGAGCTAGGATTACAGGCGTGAGCCACAGCGCCCGGCCAGTAGCTTTATTCTTTATACTTATTTTTTTCCTTCTCATTGTATGTTCTTATGAGTACACTTTAAGACCCATCTGATCATTTATAGCTTACCTATTTTCATTTAGCCCACGTTTTGAAATCCCAAATTTCTAGCAAATTAAAACCTAATGATTCCCAATGCAAGCATACCCAGCATCAATGAAAAGTATTCATCATAAGATTTCATTAATTTCCCTTCCCCTAAACATCATTGATTATACACAGACCACAGTATTTGAAATTCCTTGAAGTTGATTCCATGGCAGTGTAAAACATTTGTAATATCTTAATAAAAGGTAATCAGAGTTTTAAAAAAAAAATTCCACAGCCAAGCCCAGCTCCATTAGCTTTTTTATTTCACCCTTTCCTCTGGATGAGATTGTGTGACTTTCATTTCTTAATTGTCCTAATCCCTATAGAGTATCAAGAAAAGCAGAGTGGAGTTCTATTCAATAGAGTCACTCCTGTCACTCCCCTGGCACTCAAGGTTCCTGTGGCTCCATTTATGCCTGAGATATTATAATAAATGTTGCCACAACACAGAGGAGCAGCTAATCAGAAGCTCTCTTAAAGGACTTTCCACTTTTTCTAAGGCCATTTCATCTCTCCTTTAGAGGCCCTTCCCAGATAGTTTTTCTTTTTGCAAGAGTGTTCATATAGGGTTTTCCAAACCTGACATACTTCAAACAGTGGTGGTAGCAGTGAGCAGAATGAGAAAAAGAAAGTGGTACGGTGCAGCTGGTAGCCTGAGATAAGAATGAAAGTATTGGTCTTCCTCTCTCCTGGCAGCATCTCAGCTTCCTTGTTTGCCTTGAGGTAAACAGAGAGGTTGAAAATGAATCCATCTCATGTTTCAAACTATTTCAATGTGTCAGTGTACTAATGAGCAATTTTATATGATGTTTTCAGTGAAGAACAGGTATCATCTCACTGTATGTTCAACACAGGGGTATTATGTTTCCTCTTATGCAAATCGGGAGCTAGAATAGTTGTATAGTATAAATAATAAGTGGATGCATTGAGAACCTGTTATTGAAGTTACCAAGTATTTTTTAAAGAAACACCAAATTACCATGTAACATGCAGCTCTTAGATCTTATGACAAGGCTTTAGCTTCAAAGACAGAAATAACGAGATAGTTACCCCGTGATTACATGGTGCTGTAGCTTCCATATACTTACATGGTCAGTAGTTACAATTTAATTGCAGAGTTACTGGTGGTTATTTATGCTCAGAAAAATAAAGTGATACTGCTTTTCTATTTACCAAAAATAAGAACCTTCTAAAAATAGCACATATTTAAAACTGTTTTGACAACTGAAGTACCTGGCATGGTTTTTATCTCACGTGCTGCACCCCTTTCTTCTCCTCTCCCCATTATTCCAACTGATTTGTGAAACAGAACTAGTATGTTTATCAGGCCTTTTTTGAGAGAAAAGGAGATGATATCTGCTTGACTAGAGGAGAAGGGTAGGCTAGAGATCTCCAGGTAACCTATCGCCATGTGCAGAGCATAGTAAAGAAATAGTAAAAGAATGTACAAGATATGGAGCAATACTTCCTCATGTTTTGTGATAGCAAGTGAGCTCCAGATACATTATTTCCATTTTCTAAACTGTCAGGTTGAGAGTCAAAGAGTTCTGTATCTCTCTGATGAGGTGCTGGTCAGATGGCACAGTGGGTGTTCAGATTACATGTTTAAAATTAAGCTTTTAGTATAGTTGACATCTGCTCAATTTTAGAAACTTGTGTTTTCCAATAGTCAAAGAATAAAGAATTGTCTGCTCAAAGATAATATTGAGTGGCTTCTATAATAAAGCCCAGCTGCTTGTTTCCTGATATATAATCTAAATAAAAGCTCACATCTGTTTACATTATAGTGGGTCTGCAAAAATAACAGATGTTTACTAGCAGAATACTTCTGCAATAACAACAAACAGGGAAACAGGTCAGAAAAATAAATGAATCACATTTAATGAAAACCCTTGCATACATTGAAGTTGTATAAATTTTTAAAAGAATTTTTAGAACAAAGACCAGTTTGGAATATTTTCAAGTAAACATGAAGTTTATATTTTCAAAAATCTTAAAAATGAGGTTTTTTTTTTTTACTTTTAAGAGAAGAAATATGTATGCCTAAATTTTCTCATTTATTGATAAAAGGTAGAGATTAAGGAAATTGGTTTTTCATATTTTGAAAAATATGAGAAATGGTGTTAATCACATTATAATTAGCATCCATCCATTGCCATGGAGAAAGTTTGTGTAAATCATTCATACTATTCACTACATCAGCTTAGGTCAGTTTTGCTTTGATTTACATGCAACATAAAAAGTATGAGAGAATGAAGCTTTAAAACTCCTTTCTTAGTTTAATAAATATTCATCATAGAACATACAACAAAGAAACCATATGAAACTATAATTTCGCTACTTCAGCATCAATTTTATGATTTCTTTTTCTTAAACAGTTTAGATGCACATCTAATTAGGAAGCCAGAAGCCAGTAGCTAAAGTCCCCTCCAGTTTGAACTTGACTCTGACATTTTGATAACCAAGTTTCCTACCCAAGGAATAGCAATTCTACTCATTTATAAATTCCATGTGAAAGTCAATATAACAACTGTAAATTATTGTTACAGCAGCTGCAAAATATTTTAGTAATCAAAGAAAGTATCAGAAGAGTAATGTGTAAAGAAAATTCTAATAGGAGTATCTGCATAAGAAACTATCAACTTTTGGTACAAAAGAACAGCAGACTCTTTTTTGGCTGACATTTGTTAGAGAAATATAAATAGTGAGCAAAGCAGAAATTTTAAGTCAAAGAGAACTACTTAGAGATATGACAGGAAATTTTACTAGTTTAACTTGTAATAATTAGCATAATCAGGATAATGCTTGAAGAATGCATTCTCTTCTTCCTATTTGAAATAATCTTTTGATCTAGTTTTAAGAAAATGAGGTCACACTACTAGTATACTTCCGGGATTGCATGTAACCTCAAGTGCTTATAAATCACTCGAGGCTACCTTCTCCTTTCTGCCTGTTCCCCTTGGCCTTGGCTGTTGCTAGGTCTCCCTCTGCAGTCAGGGAAAACTTGGCACACAAGAGAGATCTGTATAGGGGTGGAAAAGAATGAAAATATGGCCCTTGAAAGTATGAAGTACCATAAAAATACTAAGAAATGATGATGTTCATTGTTCATTATTACCAAATCTTGTAAAATAGACTATTGTAGTATCTGTTGCTAGTATCGTTATTAAACAAATTTCGCCATAGGCAAAATAGCCTAATGTAATAATCTTCAATAGTTACCTATCTCCCTTGGTTTCAAGAATGTTCATAAGAATATAGTATGCAAATTTGTTTTTGCTCCTGTCATTTCATTATAATGTGAAATCTGAAGCACTTATAAAATTACCTCAATGATGCTAATAGAAAAATATATCTACTAAAACAATTTAGAACAGATTTTAATTTGGGAAGAATCAGTCCACTATCTTAAACTAGTTAGTATGACTTGTTCGACAACTACAAAGCTGATTGCTTATAAGTAAATATTAAACCCTAGGCTAGGAGTAGGTAAATCAAGAATATACTATGTTAAATGATTATGGTCTGGCTTTGCATTAGAATATCCAATCTTATAATTGAAATAAAACATATGTTCCTTTGTCAATAAGGATGTTTTACATCTTGTCAAAAATCTTTCTTGGTCATCTAGTGTGTCAAACTCTCCAGCTATTTCCTTTCAGCCTACACTAATTAGGTTCGTAGGAAGCAAATCTACATTCTGGAAGATGTGATTCTATTGTTTAATGTGTGGTGGTTTTGCCAGGGGGAGAGATGCTCCTTCTCAATCCAGATGTGGCATTATTTCTGCTGGGCTCTTCATCACGATCTCTGGACCATTCTGTCCTCTAAGTTAGCCCAGGAGATTCTAGCGGAAGTGCTGGAGAAATCTTTGGGTCTTCTGGCCTCCAGATATGCCCGGGCCCATCCCAGTTACAAGAGAACTCCACAGATAAGGTAATTGAAGTTCTGAAAAATATTTTTCCTCAAGAAAACTTTTTCTTCAGTTGGTGTAAAGCAGAATGTTATTCTGAATCTCATGACATTACTCCTTGTATATTTAACATGTTTCTAAAATCTGAAAGGAAATCATATTCAATTCTCCTGAGGTACTTCGGCGGAAATGTGGAACCTGAATCAAAATAAATTTGCTCTTTTTTCTTCTTAAAATTGTATATAGAACCTACTTGTTTCTAAAAAAAATGATTCAAGATGTCTTGTAATCTAGGACGTATGTATACAAAATTTAATGAGATAAAGAGAGAAAATTAAGGCCCTGAAATGGAGAAAAAAGCAGCTGTGCTATGATGGAACAATGTGTCTATGCAACCAGGGGGTTTTAGTTGTTTTTTTAAGCCTATATATAGAAGTTTATCTTCATTAAGGAAACTGTTTTGTCTAATCATTTTTCTCCTTAATATAATCTAATTATTTCCTTTTTCCCTTTATTTTTTCTTTTCTTTTCACTGTGTATTACTAAAAGTCAGTTCAACAAAATGTGAAATCACAGAAAATGAGGAGCAAAGTTACTGAGCATTAAATAAAAGACTGAATTATAGTGCAATTCTGTGAGTTATCTAGGCAATGAATATTATACAAATGTGCTTACATGACAACAATGGTCTATATGAAGAGGAGGCTTTTTGTTAAATAAATATTCTATCTAAAGTGATTAAGATCTCCCTTTTACGTATACAAAAATTTTTCTTCAGATATATTTGAGGAGGGGTTCCTACAGACATCAGAGGATTCTTTTTTTTTTTTTTTTTTTTTGCAGGAGGAATCATTTCCTGATCATGTTCTTGTAAAGCATGCTGCAATTTTAAGGGCGCTTAGGTCCTGCTACAGTGTTTCATAAATATGGTATTTTACACAGGCTGTTTTGAATTACTGACCAAGCTTTTTTTTAAAAAAAAAAAAATTGAGCTCTGAAGAATAGATGGAAAATTCCTTTTGAGAGCAAAGAATACTTTCATTCTTTTCCTTATGTGGTATAAATCACTTTTGACTATGAGATGGCAAGTCATTATGAGATATTTGTGAAATCAGATTTACTGTTAGCTCATGAAATAGGTAGTATATTTAATTAATTAACTGTACTATAGAGACTTTTGGATTTTATTTTCTGGGTGGTTGCATAAAAATGCCATACAATGCTAGAATTATTGCTTCTGGTTTTTGTAAGTAAAATATATAAATATTCTTATTTGAATGGTCATTCCTAAACCATCATTATTTTAGAAATCAGATTATGTATATGTGTGTGTTTGTATACATATATCTTGGACTAGCAATTGTTTATTTAGCAATTAGAGAAAGTGTATGCAAAGTACAATAAAACCTTCCTAAAGGCTGTTACTGATGCTTTTTAGTATTCCAGTTGCCTCTAAGTATTATATAATCAAACCATATATACAACTTATATGGTGTTATATATTATTAATATATATAAATTTATTATTGCATAATAAATTTGAGGCCAAAATGTCATTTTAAAAGATGCTCAAACTTGTTTTTCGTCTTATTGTTTCAAAATTTCCATCTTCTATTTCTTCAACTCTGAGTTTAAAATTTAAAAAATGGGAAATTAAGTGAAGTATTTAGTCATATACCAAAATAACCTTAAAACAGATCTTTGAGTCCCTGTTAAAACTCAAAAAATATGAAAACAAAGAAATAAGTCTATGAATAAGATAAATAATACCACATATTTTTCAATATTTTATTTAATATTAGAAATTTCTGAAACTATAGGATTCTGCATTTGAGCTTCTGTTGTCAGTTCTTCTCATCTTCCACTTGCTGGGAGAACATGTTACCAACTTTGTACATTTTTTTTGACAGCATACACATGGGTGAGAGAACTGTTTGGTACTGAATTTCTACCTATCATATTTATGTGGATGATAGCAAATTTTCCTTTTCATCTAGCTTCTTTTTGCCCAATGTAATTTCAAGGACAGTCTCTTGAGTTTCTTGAACAGAATCCTGATAATGCAAAATAAACTTTTTTAAAAAAAAGCACTCTTAGAACATTATTACAGACCTCACCATCCCTAAGGATAATAGTATTGTGAGTCATCTAACAACCTGGAAACTCAAAAGGTATCTTTGATGCTTTCTATCTGTTTTTGATCTCTGAAAGCTGCGGTATCTAACTAGATCTTTCTATTTTTACATATGCATAGTATAAGAGATGGATGAAAGTCTATATACCAAGCAAAGGGATTATTTTGTTTAACATGATTTTCTTATTTTTCTTTCCATTAGACTTGATGTCACAACAATTTTAATATGCACCGAGAACATGTTATGGTCAGTTTGCACATCTGTACAGAAACTTCTGAAACCTCATGAATATATAGATGATAAAATTCTAAAAATTCATACCCATTGTAATAATCTATTTACAACATTAGTCATTTTGACTTCGCCATTAACAGAATTATATAAGTAAGTATCAAATAAATTTTAACTATAATGATATATAATATAATGTGATTTAACAAAGTTATTTTCATAACACTGACTGAGCTATGTGAGGTACAAGTGGAAATTTTTTAATGTGCATTTTTAATATTGTGACTTGGGCTATTTTATAAAATTAACATCAACCAATAACGGTTTCTTAATTCCCAAAGCAATTTAATCCAAAGTGTGTTACATATCTATTGGTCAATTCTATTCAGTTAAGTTCCAATACAATCAGGAACATTTTGAACTTCACTATTTGAGTTGTTTAAATGATCAAATTATATTAATGGGTTGATTATTTCAGTCATGTTTTGATACTCTATGAAAAAGAAAATCATATCTAGTTGCTTTTTGCTCTTTTAAAAATATACTTTAGTTTCTAATTTTATATAAAGTGATTTATACTCTAATAAAAATACATTTTTAAAAATAGTTCTAAAATATGCCCAAATCTCAAAGAGATCTAATGACTCCACACTTTCAGTTAATCTCCCAGAGATTTGCATTTTTAATATTAGGCTTTAGTGTCTTATCTAGTAATGGCAAATTGAAACAGAAATAATTAATTACATTGAAAAATTGTTGAAATATTTTATTTAGCTCAACAAAAAATGTAGAGAAATCTAAAAATTTTGAACTACTTTTGATTTCTGGTTAATTCAATTCAAATTTGTAATAATATAGAAAATGTTGAAATAGATTTTTTTTCTTTGAGATAGAGTCTCACTCTGTCACTTGGGCTAGAGTGCAGTGGCATCATCATAACTCATTGCAACCTCAAACTCCTGGGCTCAAGTGATCCTCCTGCCTCAGCCTCCCGAGTAACTGTGAGACTACAGGTGTACACCACCATTCCTGGCTAATTTTTCTCTTTTTAGTAGATATGGGTCTTGCTCCTGCTCAGGCTGGTCTGGAACTCCTGAGCTCAAGCAATGCTCCCACCTCAGCCTCCCAGAGTGCTAGGGTTACATGTACGAGCCACTGCACACAGCCTTGAAATAGATCTTATAATAAAACATTAATACCATTTTGTTAACCTCCTCTAAAATTGTCACTTTTATCTTGAAAGACTAAATAATTGTATAGTTTTTGTTTCTTGGATAGTAAAAAGTTCACATAATATTGTTATTTCTTAGGATAAATAGGTAAAGTGTTATTTCTTAGGATAAATAGGTAAAGTGTATAACATTCCAGTAAGAGGAATCTTGATTTTCAATGAATTTAAGACTTTTGTGTTATATATTCTGAGAATAATTAACAGCCCTGATTTCAATTTTCCTATAATTTTCACCTTCTCTGACTTTCAATAAACCCATTGTTTACAGATTGTTCCTTCTAGCAACCCAAGTTAAAAACTACTTTTAGAAAACTACTTTTAGAAAGGAGAAAAAGCACTGAGATAAATCACCATACGGTTGAGATTATATACATAGTGGTTCATAATCATAAAAAGCTCAAGTCTGAAGCCTGTAATAAATCCTAGGAAACTAAACTGATTTACCATAGATGAAAAAATTGCTATGCTCTCAGTTCAATGGGTCATTTCATCTAAGAGGAAGGCCCTGTGAAAATCAGGAACAAAGTTGACAAATTTCATGGATTGGTCATGGTGAGCAATATTGAATTTCATGCTTTGTCACAGATGAATTGAAAAATTTTAACCCCCCAATGCATTTGTAAAACAAATAAATTATTATCAAAGATTGCATATTTTAATAATAATAATGTAGCATACATTCATTATTGTTAACCTATGGCCTTTTGATACATTTTTTAACAACTATGCAAGTACTCAAATCTCTGTGATTTGTGCATTAGATATTGCACTGTAACCTCATTCAGCAAATTTAAATTGCTAATTTTAACCAGGATTACAGAACATTTTACACCAAGCACTGCCTCTGGTGTTTCTTAATATAAAACATAGATAGCCATAATGATTTGAAACATGAACAAAAGTCTAGGCACACTTTAATTATTTCTTAATATTTCTCAGTTCAAAAAAATTTCACAAATTTTATCAATTTATGTTGATTTAAATTTTATTATTTTTTCCTAGACTGTAAATCTAATCTTTGAAATACACTTTTTCCTACTGACAAAGGAAATCTACAGGGCAGCATGTTTTTCAACAACTAGGGAGGGATATAATGTTGCAAGAATACTAATATTGACTTACTGAGCTGCTTTTTACAGCCAGGATATGAAGTTGTCATAGTATTAGTATTTTAGAAAAAATTGTTTCTCTATCTCACATTAAAATATTAAACCATATAGTTTGAGGAATTGGCGAAAAGTAACAATCAGATATTTATACTATTGAATTTTTTATAAATCATACCTGACATTCGTCACTCTGTGTGATATGCCCTTTTAAAAGGTGACTGCCTTTATTTCAAGTAGTTCTGACAGATAAACTGAGTGTATTTTTCTTTCTAAGCTTAGCACAGGACCACCAAATCCCAGGGCAGGCATATATGATTTTAAAGTCTTTTCAGGAAGAATGAAACCTGTTTGCAAAAATGTGTGTTCTTTTTTAACTTGCCTTTGTTGATTTCTGTTAGAATGTTGTAAAAGGAGTACTTTAGGTTTGTTCTCCAGGGAAAGAAAGCTGCTGAAACATAAAATATTCATCATGTACTTTCCAAAATGCTTATCACTTGTTGTCCTTTTGTAAAGGCGATTAAACTGTACATTCAGAAACATGTTCACATACATGTTCATACACATACCCACACAAAAGTTTCATATATTGCATTTTGTGTGGCTAGACTATTAGTTTTTATTTGTGGATAGCAAGTTAAAAATTATTTGCTGGATTCTTGGGTAAAAGCAATTTAGTTTCAATTCAACAAATATGGTTCAATAAATAAGGTATTCCAATGCTGTGTCTATAGTTCTGTTTCAGACCGTTAGGTCTTTTGAGGTTATGGTCTTACCTATTTTTTGTTTGTTTGTTTTTTGAACAATTTCACTGTCCCTCACAAAACAGAATATGTTGAACTAAAACATGGATACTGCAAGAGTGGCTGGCACACTTTGGAGAACAGTTAGGCAGTTCCTCAAAATGTTAAGGACAGAGTATGCTTATGTAAAATGTTGAGCATATGGTCATATGACCCAGCAATGAAGACATATGTCCACACAAACATTTGTATAGGAATGCTCATAGCAGCATTTTTCATAATAACACAAAGTGGAAGCAACCCAAATGTCCATCAACTGGGGAGTGGATTAAAAAAAATGTGTCATATCTATACAGTGGAATATTATTTAGCAGTTGTAGCAAGTATTTCCATGTGCTACAACAGGGATGAACCCTCAGAAACATTATGCTAAGTGAAATAGCTATACACAAGAGACCACATATTATTTTATTACATTTATAAGAAATGTCCAGAATAGGCAAATCCATAGAGACAGAAAATAGATCAGTGGTTGCCAGGAGCTGAGGGGAGGGAGGAATGGGGAGGGACTGCTAATGGGTACAAGGTTTCATTGAAGGATAAAATGTTCTAAAATTAGCTAGTGACAAGGGTTACACAATTCTGTGAATATAGTAGAAACCACTGAATTGTATGCTTTAAATGGGTAGATTGTGTGGTATATGAATTTTATAAAGCATTAAAAACAAATATAGACTGAATGGAAATAAAATTAAAATATTTAAAATGTTAAAAAAAAAAAAAGTGGCAGAATGCAAAATGATCCAGAAAGTGAAGTATCTTGTCTCAGCCATTTTGTTTAGATGAATCCATAATTCCCTTTGTCCACCTTCCTCTATTTTTAAGGGGAAATCTCTTTTAAAACAAAATACAAAATTAAGCAGCATTGTGTGTGGTCCTAATAAGGTAAAACACTGCAAAAGAGCCAGTCATGAACTTTGGAGAAGCCTGTGCCCTGACTCTCATTGTCTGGCTGCTGCTGTACCCTGGGGTCCAGTCTCCCTCTCTACCATGTCCTTTTCCCAACCTGCCCTTTGACTGGGTGCCACCCACGATTGCTCTTCACAGATAGTCCTTTCAACTAAGCAAGTTCTGACAATATCTTCCTTTCATTCATTCTTTTTTTAATTTTCTTTAACTACGTACCTACTATGGGTCAAGCATTGTGCCAGTCATTTTCTAAGCTCAAATCATCATTTTCTAACCTCAAAGAGTTATTTTCATCATGAGAAATTCAAGCCAGAGGGCAGGAAAAATATGGGGAGCCATGTTTTACTACAAATGTCTTACCATGATCTCTCTCAATGACATTTAGGCAACTTCTTACAGCCTTGGGGGTAATGCTTGTTTTTGAAAGCAAAGCAGTGACTTACAAATTCTGTTTAAAATCTTGCAGTTTGTTATTTCTACATATTCATAGTTACTTGTCTATTAGTTTATAAAGGCTAAACATGTCCTCAGTTATTCCAGGATTTTCAGTGCTGTCTCAATAGTTGAGTTTCACACTAACTCTACTTTTTCTAAGGCTGTGGTCTTCTCCTGGTATTTTTATTTATTGAGTACTTCTGATGGCCCAGGCACCATGGCAGGCATAGATGACGCAAGAAGTCTGACCTGACCGCTCCACCCGCATAGAGCTTACATCCTTGGGGTACCTAAATTCCACCATGGAGGCTTAGCCCCTTAGCATCATATTATGAGACCCAGTTCTCCTGGGAGGGTAACCAAAAGCTGGGTGGCACAAGAGAAGCATACAACCCACTAATTCTTTTTAGCTTATCAATTGTTCTCACTTTTGATTTTGCATTGGGTCTATCTCATTCCAGCAGCTGGCTATAGAAGCCCAAGAAGCCAACTAGTTTTTGTTAAAGAAAAAAGGAAAGAGGGCAGCATAAGTATAGATCAGAAAACCAGGAGGAAATAAATTTAGGACAAAGTGCTGGCATGGTCATCCCAGTGGCAGTGTGATGCTAAAGCAAGGGAAAGGGGCATGGGCTGGTTGGTGGAAGGGCAAAGGCAATGAATTTTCCCAAATTCACTTTTTCCCCCAATTTATTTTTTTCCCCTTAAGCAAAGCCATCTTTACAGTCTGTTAATTTGGGAATGTGAAGAAATGTATTCTGCTTCAACCTATGGACAATTAGTTATTTTTAAAGGAGTATTTAAATTTGCTTGGTATAGTAACTTTTTTTATGTCTTGTGGAAAATATTATTCTGTGGCTCATATGATTGTATTTTACTCTCCACCATGAATTATTTAGAGCATCTTCCCTTTTATCTGTATACCAAAACATCATTAGAGGTTATCTAATAGCTAGCTCATCATTTCATTCTCCCATTGAGGCTTGTGGGCCAATTTTCACCCTGTTATACTCTCCAGAATAATGAAACTAATTTGGGATCTTGCTGTGGAATTAAATGCTCACACAGATCCCTCTCCCTTTGAGACCATAAACATCTGCCATAATAGCTCTTATAGCCAAATAACCTCGCTATAACTGGTATGACGGAGAAACTGTCAGTGGAATAAAAGAGTTTAGGTAATGGCAGAAATGTTCTGGTAAATACTGTATTGCCAGTGGCTTGTAGTCAAAGAAATTTTGGCACCAAATAACCATTCTGTTATTATTGGATCCTCCATTATTTTTTCTAGTCTTGAGGATCAAACTGTAGCTAGGCAACCATTTAGACTATTAGGAATGTCATGTCAGCTTTGAAATAAGCATAGACCTTCTTAAGAACTATTTGCAACTGTTGTCATCATATTGACATCATATGTATGTTGACCTCTTACTGTCTATGAGGCACTTTGCTAAGTTTTTTACATGTTATTTCACTTGATCTTCATGCTGACCTTGTGAAGTGATTGCTATTTGAATTTTACAAATGAGAAAACCGAATAAATTGCCAAACAGCATTACCTACCTAATAACAGCACATCCCAGATACAAACCCAGGCTATCTGGCTCTGGTGCTCCTGCATGCGTCCATACACTGCCCCTAAATAACCATCAGTGACCTTACCCTTGGGGTATGGACCAAATAAAAAAAAAAGTAAATGTGAAAAGATTGGAGGTAGAGTTAAGTCCTGTGAAGAAACAAAGCAAAATAAGGGTATAGAGAGGGGAGGAGACGGTGAAAGGGATGTATTTCAGGCACGTAGTCAGGAAAGACATATTAGAAGAGGTTCTGAGGTAGAACAATCTATGTAGCTACCTGAACATACCAGAGAGGTCATTCCAGGTAAGGTATTCATTCTAGGAGAAAGGAGGTAGCCCTCAGATAACTGGACAAATGGGGATTTACACTCAAAGAAGTAGGGGGGAAAGTAGGCATAGGCTCTGATACTACATCTCTTTGTCCACATCCTCCAGTCTCTCCTGCTCACCCATCAAGGCCCCCATGTCTGTCCCATCCTGTTCCTCCCAAGCTGTCTCTTTTTTGAGACTGCCTACGTCTCCAAACCCCTTGCTCCATCTCCTCATCACATTACACCAGCACCTGGCTCCCTTGCTGTTGCATGTCCCTCCCCCATAACCTCTCTTTCTTGACCTCTCTATCCAGACTCTGGATCTCTGCTAGAGAGTATCACTCGGCTCTCCTTTTGTACCTTTTGGAAATCTCACTATTTGTCCAATCTCTGGGCAGCTTTTTCTTCCATACTTCTTCACTTTGGTCAACCCCCTGACCTTGCCCCATCATGTTGTCAGCAGATGGCCTTGAGCCTCTACTTCTCTGCAAAAATCCAGACTACCACGAATGCACTTGAACTTCTCATTTCCATTCTTAATAGCTCTTTGGGTTGCTACTCACCTCTACATCCTTTGATTGGTCTCTAATCAATGTGTCTCTTTTCCCAACTAAAGCAAATATTTTCACCTGAACTCTTGATTACATTCATTACATTCACCTCCTACTCCATGGCCTTTTCTATCTCCTGGCTCCTTCCTCCAAGCATTCATATTAAACATTATTTCTCCTTTACTATTGTATTTCCCTCCTAAAACACTTTGCACTCATTGCACTCATTGTTTCCACTTTTATACCTACCATTCACTCAATGCGCTGCAATTGGACTTCTACTCTCTTGCAGGGGTGGGGAGCCTGTGGTCTTGGGGCCACATGTGGCCTTCCAGATCCTTGGGGGGTGGCCTTTTGACTGAATCAAACTTTCAGATTCAGTGGAGGAGCTGCACTTGGGTATCTGGAGGGCCACATGTGGCCTTGAGGCTGTAGGTTCCACAACACTGAATGGTTTCTCTTTCTCTTATCCTCTTTGCAGCTTTTAACATGATTGGCCATTTTTCATGCCTTGGCTTCCCTCACATCACCTTCTCCTGTGTCTTTGCCTACTTTGATTATCCCTTGTTGGTTGTATTTGAGTGTTTCTTTTTCTCACTCCTTCCCTTAAATGTTCATGTGTTCCAGAGTTTTTTCCTGGACCATTTTTTTCATCTTACACTTTCTTTGGGTGAATTCATTCATTTCTATGGCTTCACCATCATGCAGATGACTTTCACATCAATATCTTCAAACCAGGTATCACTTGTATGTACTAGATCAGTAAATTTAAATTCCGATTGTATGCCTCTCCTTGGACATACTTCAAATATCTGCAGCCCTTTCAACATACTTAAAACTAAGTAAAACACCTGCAATTCACCCTAAGATTTTCCCTGTCCCTTAACTTTCTGCTTTAATCTTCCCCTTCATGCCATCGCCAAGCCCCTGTCATTGGAAGATGAATATTGTTAGTTCTGTGAATTTAACATTTTTTTTTATATTTGTCGTCTACTTATATCCTCTTCTGACTGGTCTACTGCAATGTCCTTTTCATTATCTCCCTTCTTCCTGCCTTCATCTCCTCCAATCTACTCTCTTCATTACTGCTGAAGTGATTTTTATAAGCTATAAAGCTTCTGGTATTATTCACATGCTAAACTCTTCAATGATTCCTTATTGCTGCTACAAAGTCTAGACTCTGTAGAAAACCTTATCTGGCCTAGCTTCTGCCTACCTCTTTAGCTCACACAGTGAATGCAAGGAGTGGAAATAATACCAGCTGACTTTGAAGCCTATTTAAGGCATTTTTGTTTTGATCTAGAATTTAGTGAGAAAAAATAGCTTGCAATGAAGAAACGATATGTTGAACATCTAAAAAAGTTCCAAGTATATTTAATTAGACAATGCTCTACTCAGCAAGACAACCAGGGGAGACAAGGGGCGAATTTGGAAAGTGTGAGGATACAAGAAGTGAGATGTGGAGTGAAAAATAGGGGTGGGTTTTCAAAATCAAATTCTATTCAGCATATCATTTAGCATCAAAATACATTATTTTATCTGTGCTATATGTAAAGAGACATAGTGTCACTTCAAAGAATTTCATTTCTAAAATGTTCCCAGTCATTACTTTTAACTCTATTTAGGCAAATATAATCTCCTGTTATTATAAAATTTTTATTAGCTAAACTATCTGCTAACGATTTTATGTAACAAATCCTTCTTAATGTCAAGGTTTAGAGTAGAATTTGATCTAACCTAGAAAAATATTACAGTTACTTCCCAAAGACAGTTGTAGATCAGGTATTCTAGCCAAATTGTTCTAATTTTCAGATCATGATCATATATTTTACAATTAAGTTCTTTACAAGTCCTCTCTAGACCCTTAGGAGCATAGCAAATTAATTTTAACTTCTCACTTATTGTTTAATATTTATAAATCACTTTAAAGATTAAAAAGAGGTACCTTCAGTCAAACATTTTTGTATTAATGAAGCAGATATGACAAAATATTGGCATTTATTGGATCCAAGTTGAGGAGGATACAATGGGATATCTAAATACCACTTATAGAGATATAAGTATTAATAATATTCATTGTAATATTCTTTATGCATTTATAATTGATGAATTTTATAATGTGAATGTCTAATATTTATTTAAAAAAATGATAATGGTATTGTTATACTTTCCTCAACTGTAAAGATTGTTATATGGAGGCTCATAAAGATCCTCAGTCTTAGCTCATGGTTTTTCATGGCTGTACTGACTTGCTTACCTGGCCCCTGAGTCACCTATTAACATAAATCTCAAGTGGATGAAGTGGGTGCAATGTCCTTTCTAGCACAATATCATTTGTGTAAAAATCATTAACCGAGGCTGAGTATACTGGCTTATGTCTGTAATCCTAGCACTCTGAGAGGCTGAGGCAGGAGGATTGCTTGAGGCCAGGAATTTGAGGCCACCCAAAGCAAGAACAAGACCCTAAAAATCTCTACCAAAAATAGAAAAAAAAATCAGCCGAGCATTGTGGTGTACACCTGTAGTCCTGGCTCCTTGAGAGGCTGAGACAGGAAGATCGCTTGAGCCCAGGAGTTTGAGGTTGCAGTGAACTATGATAATGCCACTGCCCTCTACCAGGGTTGATACAGTGAGACTCTGTCTAAAAAAAAAAAAAAACCAAAACAAAAAAAGCATCATTAACTGAATACTAAGTAAAAAATAAAAGGTTATTTCAGTGGTCTTCATAGTTAATCTGTTCTGTATATTCTGAAATAATTATTTTTTTCCTTAGGACTTTTCAGCATGGCATGGATGAGTCTGCTTCAGATTCCTTAAAATCATGTTTTAAGCAACCATTACACTGGATTTCTTGCATATCACATTTCTACCCTACTTTACTCAGGTGAGTGAATGCCTCTAAATGCCATACTATCTATAATTCTATGATTCCTTTTAAAGTTTAATAGAAACTTTTATCTGTGAATGTAAATGCATCTTACAAAAAGAACTTATAACTTATTCACAACAGGTAGATAAGGAAAGAGTATTATTTCTCTTTTTTAAGCTCAAGAATTTAAGGCACAGGCCTCATAATCATTCTCCTGGCTTATAACTGTAGTGATATAATGGAAAACTGTAAATTTTTAAAATTTAGTTCTATTTTAAAACACATTCTTGATCTATAACTGGGGATTTGACAGTTCTTTGGCTAATTATCAAACATAGACAGCAAAACTGCATAATTCACGTAACTAACTCCGAGCCTTAGGTCGAAGCTGAGAGAGAAGTAACTTTTAAAATCATGAACAGGATCTTTTACTTATATTATTTAATCAGCAATATTTAAAAAGAAGAAAAATCAGGGAAAAAAGTAGGAAATGTACTTCCAGAATAATCTGATGACATTTTGTGGCATTATGTGGAATGGCAGTTTGATTCTTTGCTAAATATATCATTGAAAAATACCTTCCCTTGGTATCTGAGAATAAAAATATCATGTATAGCTAAAGGAGACATAGTTAATCCCCATACATTCTTGATTCATCATGGAAAAACACTATCAGCTATTTCATCATCTAAGTTGACTGACTACATCACTCTCTTGAGGAACAAGAGTGCTATCCATAGAGAGTATGTAAACCTCATATACAAAGGTCTCTATAGACACAAAAATCATATACTGCTTGCCTACTATGTGCCTATCCCCATGTGGGTAATGAAGAATCCAAGATTAATAAGACATAGACCCCTTCGAGGACCTTAGTATATTGTTACTTTACTTACATATAAAACTCTGTCAATATCTCTGATTAATTCCTTATGATTGATACCTAGAAATGGAATACTCTCAATACTCTGTCATCTTGCATGTGGATATATTTTATATCATTAGGGATTAAATTGCCAACTCTTTAATGTTCATTATTGCAAAAATAACAAATTAAACAGCTGGATCTCTTACAGCATGAATTAAGCAGACAAGCTGTATCATTCACTTAGGATAATGGCCTCCAGTTCCATCCAAGTTGCTGCAAAAGAAATTATATTGTTACTCTTTATGGTTGATTACTATTCCATGGTGTGTGTGTGTGTGTGTGTGTATGTATGTGTATACACATACACGTATGTATATCACATTTTCTTTATCCACTCATCAGTTGATGAGCACTTAGGTTGATTCCATATCTTTGCAATTGTGAATTGCACTGTGATGAACATTTGGGTGCAGGTATCTTTTTGTTATAATGACTTCTTTTCTTTTGGGTAGGTATTCAGTAGTGGAATTGCTATATCAAATGGTAGGTCTACTTTTAATTCTTCGAGGACTCTCCACACTGTTTTCCATAGAGTTTGTACTAGTTTACATTTCCACCAATAGTGTATGATCACTCCCTTTTCACTACATCTGCGTTAACATACATTCTTTTTCCACTTATTAATAATGGCCATTCTGACAAGGGTAAGGAGTTATCTCACTGGGGTTTTAATTTACATTTCCCTGATGTTTAGTGATGTTGAGCATTTTTTCATATGTTTGTTCACCATTTGTACATCTTCTTTTGGAAAAAAATCTGTCATGTCTTTTGCCCATTTTTGGTGGGGTTATTTGTTTTTCTCTTGCTGATTTGTTTCAGTTTTCCATAGATTATGGATGTTAGTCCTTTGTCAGCTGCTTTAACTGATTTTTATTGCCTGCCTATCTTATATCTGGAACCATTGGACTTATCCTCCTTTGCGCACAGCTCTGTAAGACTTCTGCCTCTGGGTCTGCTCAGTTCAACACAGCTAGAGGCGTGGGAAGTCAGCATGAAAATGGGTTTGTCTTTCAAATAGCTAATTCTTATATTTAGCTTTTTTCTCCTTTCTATATCTAAAGCAAGTAAAAAATACAAAAGAAATTTCTTTCTTTCTGCTTCTATTTAGTAATCAATCTTCACTATTATCCTAACACAAAGATTAGAACATGGACTATTTAGCCCATACTGGAAATGCAATTTGATACATGCTTTCTGGAGGGCAGTTTGGTATAATAATAGGTATCAAAAACTTAAAACTATTTTTGCTCCTTTGTTTAGCAATTCAATTTCTAGGAATCAACTATAAGGAATTAATCGGAGTCTGACAAAGTTTTATATGTAAAGATATCCACCAAAGCATTATTTAAAAGAAAAAAATGGAATAAACTTTCTATAGCAGAGTATTAGATAAATCAGTTATGGGATAGCCAGATGATACTGTAGAGACTACTGTGGAGTCATTAAATATTTTTCAAAATATTTAATGACATAAGGAAATAATTTTTATTTAGATAACGGGAAAATACAGGTTAGTAATTGTGAAATCATCAAAGTCAGCCCAATTTTTAGACTGATGTGTAGACACAGTGCCAAATGCTTTACATAATTATCTCTTTTAAACATCACACCAGAACTTATGAAGGTAAATACTCATGTGCTTCTTTCATGGAAAGCAAAGTGCTATGTAGGTAGCAACTTTCTGGAGAGAACAAAACTGGAAGGGCAGGCTCTGAACCCAGGCTTGTTCCATTCTAAAGCTCAAGCTCTTGACAACTATACCTCCACCTTTCAAAGAGAAAGCAGTTCAAGGGGATTTTAACAGATGTGCATCAAAAATCATTGCCTGCACAAATAAAATTGTCAGTTATTCATTATGTAAAGTTTCTTTTTTATGGTGTAACTTTTCAGGGCCTCTGATATGCTAGTGTGTAATGTTTATCTCTGATATGGTTTGAATGTGTCCCCCAAAGTTCATGTATTGGAAACTTAATCCCCAAGGCAACAGTGTTGGGAGGTGAGGTCTAATGGACCTATGTCATGCAGGCTGTGCCCTCATGAATAGATTAATGTCACTATGAAAAGAGCTTGTGAGAATAGGTCCACCTCTTGTCCTTCCAACTTCTGCCATGTGAGGGGGCAGCAAGAAGGCTCTCACCAGACACCATCACCTTAATCTTGGACTTCCAGCTTCTAGAACTGTGAGAAATAAATTTTTGTTCTTTATAAATTACCCAGTCTGTTATTTTGTTACAGCAGCACAAAATAGACTAAGACAGTCTCCAAGGGAGGGATCTAGTATGCAGATTCCCCAAACTTGTTGGATAAGAGAACTCTTGTTTCCCAGGGAATGAACAGTTATTGGAAGGTGAGACATAATTCAGAAGTGCTGAACTTTGTTGTACTAACACATATAGAGCATACAACAAGTATGTATAGAAAAACAAATATTGAAAGAATATGTACTGGAGGGTTTATAGTTTTATATCTGGGTGGTTTGCAAGTGATTGCAAAGTGATTTTAAGTTTCATTTGTATAGTTGTCTATATTTCCCAAATTCTCTATAATTTAACTTTAAAATAAAAACCTTTTTAAAAACAAAAATAAAATCCATTTTCTTTGATTGCTTTTTTGTTTACAAGGCTTAATTTGTAAAGACAATTTCTAGCTCTGCACCTCTACCTCTGAGTGCTTACCTGTATCCCAAAATCATATGTCCAGCTACTCATATTTCTTAAAAGACCCCATTGTACTACTGGAAACCCAATACGGTGTCCTCAACTGATCCTTCCTTCTCCTCTGCCCTCATCCTCCACACAGGGAACCTTTTCTTTTAGGAAGGACATTGCTCTTAAATGCTTCCAGAATAGAATCTTGATCATGATTTCCATGTTAAGCTTTTTCTTCCTCTGTTCTTAGTCTATTATCATGTTCAGTTGATTCTTCCTCCAAAGTTCTCCTAGAACCACCCCTTCTCTCCACCCTACTATAACAACCTACTTAGTCCATCTTATTACTATTTAACATGTTTAAAATACTGTTTTCATTATGTCTCTCTCCTGCTCATAAACCCATAGTAGCTTCTGCTTCATCCACACTGTCGCTTATTTCCTAGAGCACCCAACAGTTTTTTCTGCTCCAGTTAATTCAATCTCCTCATGTGTCTTTAAGACTCAGTTATGCCATACTTCTTATTTTTAATTTGTTGCTGATTCTTGGCTTCATACCTTTATTTATGTGGTTTTCTCTCTTAGAATACCTTTGGTTCTCTCCTGTGCCTTTCTCAATTCTCCAGGCAAGGAATGGTATGAGCACTCCCCCCACTGCCACCACTAAGTGTCATATTTTCTGACGATTATTCTTTACTAGGCCCATACAAACTGCTTAGAAAGATTTGACCCATGTGATTTATGATCCAAAGAGCTCAGAGCAGTGGTACAATCAGAGGAACCCGGGACAGCAATGAAAGTACTTTCAAAATTACTAGAGCTATTGATTTGCATTTGTTAGACATTGCAATGGGGATTCCTTGACCACCATCATATGACCTTAAAAATGTCACCTTTCCCTCCATTTCTCTTACCTCTAACAGCTGTCTCTGTGAGTCTTTCACCCCCAACTTATCCTTCAAAACTCCATTTTTTCACCATAGCAATTAAAATGAACTATTCAGAGAAATACAGAGGTTGGATGATGATAAACTGAAAAATATATTAGAGAAGGGGAAGGCCGAGAGATGTGACTGAAGTAGTTAATGTTATAGAGGATCTTAGTAGTTTAAATCTATCTGCTTACTTATGCCTATACATTGTTTCAGAAAGAGTTTGTCAGCTTTTAGCAATATTAAATAAAGATAATTAATTAAAAGTAAATGAGAAGGGAAAAATAGAGCAAAGAGAAGGACATGAAATTAAGACTTGAAATAAGAATTAAGGTCAGGCACGGTGGCTTATAACTGTAATGCCAGCAACTTGGGAGCCTGAGGTGGGAGATAACTTGAGGTCACAAGTTTGAGACCAGCCTGGGAAACATAACAAGACCCCATTTCAAAAAAAAAAAAAATTATCCAGGATATGGTGGCTTGTATCTGTAGTCCTAGCTACTTGGG